GAGCTGGGCGGGGCCCGGGAGCCCCGGCCGCCCTGGTGGCCTCACCTTGATGCCTTCGATCCGGAAGCCGAGGGTGGCCGTGGAGCTGATGGTCTCCCTCCACTGCATGTACCTGGGCTTGGTCACGGCCCGCTGGGCGTTCTCCTCCTCGGTCGGGGCCGTGGGGTCCACCTCGACCATCTTCTGGTACATGTCCTTCCGCAGGCTGGGCTTCTTTCGGGCCTTGGTGAGCTCCTCCTCCAGGTAGGTCCTGTGTGGGGCACCAGGTGAGGCCGCTGGCTGGGCAGTCGGACTGTCACAGGGCACCCAGCCCGTGTGCCTGCGTGTCGGACTGTCACAGGGCTCCCACCCCGTGTGCCTGCATGTCGGACTGTCACAGGGCACCCAGCCCGTGTGCCTGCGTGTCGGACTGTCACAGGGCTCCCAGCCCCGGGGTGCAGAGGCATGGCCCCCTGCTTTTGATGGGAGGGTCGGGGTCCTGATCCCAGTGGTCAGAGCATCCGTCAGGGAAGTCACTGTGTCATGAACTTCTGCCACCCGCACCTCCAGGCTCAGAGACGCTCGCAGGCTCTTCCCGGGGAGGAGCTGTGACTCCCCCCGGCCCACTTCCCTCGCTCAGCCTCACAGCCTGGGAGGGCCGGGTGCAGGGGCCAGCAGGCTGCCAGCCCCGGGTGACCCCTCTCCGCCCTGCCCTAGCCGTGTGACCGTGACCTGTTTCCTCATCTGCGGAATGGGGACAAGAACATCCACCCGCGCCAGAGGCTGCCACGAGGACGATGAGCACCGGGCACAGCGCTTGGCCGGCAGCGGCTGGAGAGCCAGCGCCGGAGAGGACGGCTCTTAAAAGGACGGAGAACGCTTCTGGGAGCCGCGAGGTGGCAGCGAGGGAGAGTGAGTGTCGCCCAGCTTCCCCATTTGCCCGCAGAATGGGGCTGGCAACCGCTTCACCTTCCTCTCACCTTCCCAGCAGCAGCGTGGGCTGGGCGTTGTGTGGGCGCCGTGGCCACTGCGCTGTGGCCAGCTCAGTCCCTGCAGAGTGGGCACCCCATCCTGCCAAACCCCGCCGCCCCCCCCCTCGGCACCCGGACTCACCAGGACGTTAGGGTTCCCCTTGGTGAACTCTCTGAAGGCCTCGGTGACCTGCTCCCGCGTCTTGGTCTTCTTGAAGTCCCGGTTCACCGAGCCGTCTTCTTTCTGAGGAGGAGCCGGGAGGGGTCAGCAGGGGCCCGGGGGGCAGGCTCCAGGGTCACCCACCCAGTGGTCTGAGAACGGCCCGTGTGCTCCCTCCCGGGCCTGCATCTCACTCCCGACCCCAATCCCGGGTCCTGGGTGGAGGGGCCAGCTCCCCCACCACATCCTGAAACCTGCCTCCCGGTGGGTTCTCGGGTCCCAGGATGGCCTGGGCTCAGGGCAGAGTCCTTGCAGGGACTCATCCGGGCAGAACTGGAGCCACACCTGCTCCAAGCCCAGCGCCCTTCATGGCCACCGCCTGTCCCGGCCTGAGGAGCGGGACAGTTTCTCTAAAGTTCCGCCCAGGCTGCCCACACCGGGCCCGTG